TGTAGGACTGGAAATCAGGAGATCTGGAGGCTATTCCTGGCTCTCTTATTCGTTTCTCTTATTCTTATTCGTCAATAATAGATTCATAGATCTTTAACGCCAGGAGGACCATTATGAGCATTTGATCTGACCTCCAACACAACATAAAACACAATCTGAGTATCTACTTTACACTGGTTCTTAATTTTGGGGGTCTGTCTAGCCTTCTCAGCTTTCCTGGATTCCCAGATTGCCACGATGGCCAGAAACACATTTTTTATGTTTGGCTGACCAAGAAATTTCACCCCTTCCTATCAGATATAGACCTTTCCACATACACATCAGATGTATCTTTTTGTGTTCTGGGTTAGATTATAGCAACATCCTGATTGTACTTGGCATTAACTTTGAAAGATATTTGGTAGCTTTTACTAATACCAAATGCAGTTGCACTCTGACTGGCAAGGGCATATTACACCAATACTCTTCACTGGCTGCAGATTCATTTCCAGACAGAGGCACTAATTACTATCAAAAATTATCTTACATGTTGGTCTCCGTTAAGAGACTGCATCTGCCCCACTATTTGCATTCATTCTAAACTCCCTCTGGCTATTTGCCGAAAGGGTGAAACAGATCAGGTATCCGCCGTTCCCCCACACACACACACCCCTTGCCCCCCTGTAATATATTATGAGAAATATTAACCTTAGAACACGTTGAGACTCCATTTTTGTCCAGTTTTTCCACTAACTGCAGATGCTGTATGGTTCTCTCAGCCTCTATACTTCTGAATGTAGTGCTACATGTGGAAGGTTGCTGTGTATTGGCGCTCTGGAAAATGTTATCTGCTCTTTATCTAAATTATATACCGTAGTCAGATACTTTTGTTATGGTATCCTATAAATATGTAATTATAAGTGAGACTGTTAAGCCCTTGGTATTGAGAGTTGCCATAGGAGTGTGCAAAGACGTAGAATATCAAAAAGCAGCATCTGTATAAAAGCTAGTTCCTGTGAAGTATAAAAGAGTATACTTGACATAATACATTATGCTTGTTCCTACATGCATTCTAATTTCAGCCTGGAGTTTGGGAGGAAACAGGGAGGCAGCAAGGAGGAGCAGGAAAGAAAGAGACTGATTCACAAACACAAACGTGAATTTAAAGGAGCTGTTCGGGAGATCCGGAAAGATAACCAGTTCCTGGCTAGAATGCAGCTTTCAGAAATTATGGAAAGGTAATATTTGGTTACTGGCAGTGGCAATTATGGCAATGGAGTTACTCTGTATGCTGGCCAATGTTCACTCTTGGTCCCTGTCAGGACTGGCATGTTGGTCAGCCATATTTTGAGGTCAAAACAGTTGTCTGACAACTTGGCAGCAACCACTACAACACTTGCAGTCAGAGTTACCTGATGTTTATTGCTCATCAACCTCTCTATATTTTCAATGTGTTGGAATTTTGCTGTTTCATTCATGTAGTCACATAATGTGTATTTCTAAGTAACATATCTATAATATGTGTAATTTAAACTGTAGCAGAGGCGGTGTTTCAAAAATGTAGCTTTTTATAAATATTAAAATACATATTGTTTGGCCTATTTTATCTGATGTCAGAATAAAACATATGTTTGTTTTTATAGGGATTCTGATAGAAAAAGAAAAGTGAAAAATCTTTTCAATAGCCTTGCTACACAGGAAGGTGAATGGAAGGCAATGAAGCGGAAGAAGTTTAAAAATTAGATAGTGACGTTCTACAACAGGAAACCCTGGGACATTATATTTTTACTTTCAGGTAAAATATAAACTGATGGATTTTGAGGAGACTTTATATCTTGGTGCATTCCTTTTGTGGAAAACATGTGCCTTCAAGAACGATCTGAAAAAGGATTCTGATAAATTGGTTAGCTGGCTGTATTTTTTCATGTGAAAAATAAAGATAACATCCTTTTGTATTTGTTGTACTTACTATCATATTAATGAGAAATATTTTGGTGAATAGGTGTTCAGAAAACTGTACAGACTGTGCGTTCTTGACAGGAACTTCTGACCAAATCTGAGAGTCCATATTATAGTGCATTGTATGGGTATTCTAAAAAGAATCAAGTAACAGGCATAGACTTTTTTGTGTATTTTTGATACAGACGCTCCCTGGGTTACGCAAGACCTGACTTACGAAAATGCGCACTTATGGAAAAAGTTCCATAAGCCAGAAATAGGATTTTCAAGTTGCGGAAATTTTTGCATAACGTATGGGTATACGTTACCGACTTACGCAAAATTCGAGTTACGCAAGGCTTTCCAGAACGGAACGATTGCATAAATCGAGGGGGGGGCGTCTGTATTGTAAAATTGCTGACATTGAATTAGCATCACAACTATATACTACTTGGAGTTCAAGCAGTAATGTTTTAAATAGCATTTTGCTTTAGGAAAGTAGGATTCCTGTACTCTAGGGCCTAATGGAACTAGTTTGTTGACAGTTGGTATATCGTTAAAGCCCAACATCCATTTATCAGTTCAATAACTGTTGACATTTGCTTCATATGTATTGAATCTTAATGTTGATCTCAATTTACAGTTCTAAAACTCTGTGTAACATGGGTCAGTTAAACAGACTAGCTCAGCACCTTCATAACTATCTGATTGGCTCACAGCTTTAAATCATTTTTACATATTTCATAACAAAACAAGTTCAGTTACTTGGGTACCTGAATGACAGCTGGAAAACATTTGTACTCTATCAGCTACATTTGTGCAGAAACAAGAAGTATTTCACCCCTACTTCACTGTGTAAAGTTGGTCACTTGAATTGGATCACCATCCCAAGATTCATCACAATCTGCCTAAATCCATCCATGGCTAATTATATGTGCAGTGAAGAAATCTATAATTACTTTCCAGTTTCAAAATACTTAAATTTGTTCTAAAGAAGAGGCTAAGGGTTCTAAAGAACCTCTGCAAAATTAAACCATTTTTACTTCACAGCTGCACAAACATGAAACCCTTAAAGTGCAGCTTTAAACTTACTGTTAGCCCTACAGAGCCAGCAGAGCAGTGGGAGAGTGAGTTGGATTCTTTTCTATATGTATCATTCATAGATTTGTTCCCCTAGGACCACTCGTGTGTGAAGTTACTCATATGCGCAATGTTTTGCTGGATCAGGGCTTAAATTCCAGTAGGAAGGCCAGATTCTAGCCTCAGATCCCTCTATGCAATCTGATTCTTTTCTGTCTACATATTTATACCATGCTTTTCACAATGGCATCTAGAATCCACAATGGATCTCCCTACACATAAGCATACAGTCTTCTTTCTTCTTCCCTTTTAAAAACCTGAAAACTAATTTTTTCCAAGATTCTGCACTCAGCTATACCTGTACAGAAGGACAATGTTGCACAGGTGATGTCAACATTGGTTCTGCAGGATTTTTATTAATGGTGGTGACGTATATGAGCCAGAAAAAATACAGCTTATCCTTTAAATGCCAAGTTGAGTTTGCCAGGCTAGTGGTTAGAATAAACATCTTTTTACTTTTAAAGTAAGATAATTTGATTTGATATATAAACATAGAACTTCACAATGCCATATTTAAAGTCCCATTTCAAAGTTGAATGCTTAGTTTTCTGAACTGTCAAAACAAGAGTGTACAGTTTTAATATGCACATGTATTTACCATAATTGTGCATCTATATGGCTCCTAACTGTTCACTTCTGTGATCAGAGGCGGCTCTAGGCACCAGCAAAGCAAGCACGTGCTTGGGGCACCCCATTTGCAGGAGCGGCAGGGATCCAGCATGGGAGCTGAGAACCAACAGGGGGCCCTGGGAGCTGTAGTTCCTTAGTTAGCTCCCTGCCTATAGAGCTAGCCCTGGAGCAGGAAAGAACTACATTTCCCAGCATTCCCTTGGCCACTACCAACAGGAAAGAGGGGGAGGAAGTGAGGAAGCTAAGACCTCATGCTGCAGCCTGCTGTGAATGGAGAGCTGCACTGTAAAGGGTAGGGATACCATATTTTAACATTCAAAAAATAGGACACTCCACGGGGAGGGAGGGTAGCCCCACCCTGCCACCATCCACTCCCTCTGACTGCCCCCCACAGAAACCCCAACTCATCCAACCCTCTTGCTCCCTGTCCCCGGATCACCCCCTCCTGGGACCCCTGCCCCAACTGCCCCCCAGGACCCCAACCCCTATCTAAGCCCCACTGGTCCTTGTCCCCTGATTGCCCCCTCCCGGGACCCCACCCAC